CCAACAAGCTCATTTTTGCTCTTAAAACCGCCAAGCTGAAACACCGCCTGATCAGCGCACAGTAGGGCAGAGCTACAACCAGCAGTAACACCACACAAAAAATCCAGAAGAAATAAAAGGCATGAGGCCAGAAGCCAAGGCCAGTTACCCAGAGCAGCTCTGCATGGCACAACACGCGGCCTTGCAGAGAAGCTACACAGCTGAAGCAATGCCGGCAGCAGCATCTTCCCAGACAAAAGAGTAGTTTTGCTGGCCGTGGCACAGTCTCCACTAGCACAAACTCCGCTACATCTGATTCCTCTGCTACCTCACCCTCACAGTTTGTTTCTCTGGATAAACTGTGTTTATACTGACATATCCTTAAAGATCAGCACAGACAGGTTTCTCCTATAAGGACTATCATATAGGCTTTAAGCGCTGATTAGCTGTGGTTTTAAATGTAGAAAGAAAATCAACACTTTAAAGCCATCGGGGTGGGGGATAACAAAAAAAAAAAAACAAAACACAACCCTGATTTGTTTGGGTGCTTTAAAGGAAAGGACGAGGGTTAGTTACCCACAGTAAATCTGACTTAATCAAGATTACACGCTCATGTAAATCATTTTATCTAAAAGACCATTAGCTGAATTTCTCTGTACTGAAACAAACACTCAAAACCAAGAGGAAGTATACAGGGATTCTTCATGCACTACAAACACCAGTTATCAGGAAGGCTGTTTATGCACTTGAAAATGCAGTATATATTAATGCAAGTATTTGAATTAAAACCTATAGTTATACTGTCGCTTATTATTTGACAATAATTAAAAATGTTAAAGTTAACTATATTCAGCTAGTAATTAAAGCCTAACAGGCTAATCCATTAAGTAGTGTTTAAAATGTTAATTAAAGCAAAATGAACAATGACAGTACTTCGTTAGCAGGATATTATCAGTGGTCTAGGCGCTTATTAACAGGCATTATCAGCCTGGAAGCTTAGCTCATACAGATTTACCACTTCTATGATCGTTTCAGAGAATTTGTACAGGAGATTAAGGAGTTAAGTATCATCTCTAATTAAATATCACTCTGTACTAGGGGAACCAAAGTTCATACATATTGATAGCATAAAAGATAGGAGTTTGAATCAATATGAGGTTTTGTTAGACCATTAAATTGTGCGTGTGAACTCCTGTTTAAATATACATAATTTCATTTAACCCAAGTATGGTGCGATATTTTGGTACGGAAAATTCAGGTTTTCACAACCCAACTGACATTTTTAATCCAAATGCCTAAACAGTCATAATCCACGTGATTGTGCCTATTTGCATAGGGACTAGATTTGGAAATACCTATCACTTAAGGATAAGACAGCAATGCCTCAACAGAGGACTGCCATGCAGGATCTCTACCGACTTCTATGTTTCTATGCATAGTGCTAACAGTTTTAAAAACATCTCAAACTATTGCTTCCCATTAAGAAGAAAAATCACCTGACGATGCTCAGCATGGTGGTGACACGTCACCACAGGATACTGTGCAGTGAGAAAACGATGCCTCGGTAAGACAAAGATGCTACAAAGGGCGGAGTTGCTCAAGACAAAGCCGTAAGAAAGAGGAATTAAATATAATCACTAGAGTCAGGGAAACACGCGAGTTTTACTTTTCCCGAAAGAAATGCCTCACTTCATAAGCATTTAATTAGATTTTGACTCCTTTACAGATTTGGGGAGGGGGAATTTTAGCGGACACAGTAACGCCTCCCCCACAGCAACGCGGATTAGGCAGCGAACCAGCAGCGCAGCAGGCCGGCCTGTCTGATCAAGCTCCACATCGCCCCAGCGAAACGGCTTCGGCGGATCCCTGGGGAGCCCCCGGAGAAGCCCGAGAGGGGGGACCACCGCGGGGGCGCGCCCCAGGGCCCGCCTCCTCCAGCCTGCC